CACATCAAAGTGAAATGATCATTAGAAATACTGGAGATGAATTTGGGTTTCTCAGATGTCAGAGTGTCCTTGAATGCATCAATATGGGATAGTTCAGTGCATGCAAGAAAACAAATTACACTGGAATCATAAGTTATATGATTAGACGAGGACATACGAGACAAATACACATGATTGATATTGTTGGACCAGAAATAAAGTGCATTACATGGGAGGGTTAGGGTTAACCCTAAGACATGTTGGGAGACACTTTCTCGCCTTTGCCTGTAATGTCAGGCAACCAGGTTAGGTTTCTGTACAAACTGTGTTACCAGGCTGGCCGTTTCACTGTTTCCAGTCTAGATGAAGTTTCATATTTACCATACTGAGTTATATCAATGTTCTCATAAAACTTTATTTCCCAACATGTGAAACAATTCTTTAAAATCTCTGCAAGTCAATGTTTCTGAATAGTGGACATCACAGGGAGACGGACAGTCTGAGCAGACGGTCAGGTCAGTGATAACGGGCAAACAGGTTCAAAATGTCAGACAGTGTCAACTCCTCTGCTTTGATGTCACCGGTGACCCATCTGCAGCCCGCATCCTCCTTTCCTCTAAACACACTTGCACACAGGGATTGGATGGCTAGCTTCTTTCCGTCTAATGTCGCAACCTCACACGCCTCGGTACACCCTTTCTCTAAATGGAGGCAGCTCAGGGAGGAGGCCAGAGGGCAGCCGACCCACCCCTCCCTCAGTCTGTCGGAAAATGTGTGTCAGAGTGTCTGAGCAGCAGGGTGACCTGAACACTGTGCCAGAGAGGAAGTTATCTTCTCTATTGTTTTGCAAGATTAGAAACCAATTCTGGTACATCTGCTTTCTGTGGCTCATGAAAATAATTCATCTCACTTTCGAGTCGAATGGTTTGATGAGGAAACAACGGTGAGCTACAGATTAAAGGGGCTGCATTGTATACGAGGTTAAAACTCTGATTGTGCTGCAGATTAACAAAAGACCTGACGTCGCAGTGATGCAGCCAGCCTATCAGAGGAGGAAGTGTAGGACGAGGCCCTTCTTTCAGAGGCTATCCATCATGGCTTCCTGTTTTAGAAAGCTGGGTGGAGAGAGAACAGAGCCAGATAACGGCCGACAGAAGACACACAAACAAAGACCTTTCTATTTCATCTGGCCCACAAAACTCTGCTCTAAAAAAAGCTTCTCAACACTTGGAAACCTTCAAACAGGGAAATATTTCAGTTGTTGAGCAGGTGGAGTCTACGCTCCATGAAGAAAAGGTATAGGTGTTTTTCTATTTTAAGCCGCGCTGCATAGTACAGGAGGGGAAGAGTGTGTGTACGAGGCTGCAATAAACAAGAAGCCGACTTCCTGCTGGAGACAAGAGTGCGGTCGGAAACGCAGCCTTCACTTGGAGAGAGGACGCTCACAGCCACTTGTTAGCTTGTCACTTGCAAGGTGGCTCCACCCTCACTTTTCCTCCTCCCCTCCCCCACTCGCTACGCACACGTGTTGGTAAAGAGAACCGGTGTACGATCTACGAAAACTGTTTTTGGATACATTATGTCCTCTCATGTAAGCCCATTGTTATCGACTCGAGCATTTAACCATGAAGAGAAGCTAAAAGGCCAAAAAATTTTGTTTGGTCTGCAAACTCTTACAGATTCATATCTTCATAACACAGAAGAAACTGACATACCGTTGTATTAACCAGAATAAAAAAAAAAAAAAGTATAACTACTCGCACAAAGAGAATATATTTTATCTCCACAGTAGTGAAAACAAGCCTTTTTCATGATTGTAGGTCTGTGATCCCAGCACTGGTTCAAACCCAAAGCACCACAGAAGACATGTCCTCAAACTCTTTTCAGTGCCTTGTAATTTGTCAAAAAGGCAGCATCTGACAAGACAGACAGGAGCCCGACAGTAAATCTGTGGGGCCTACAGAATCATACTCAATGTTAATGTTTCTATTGGATTATTTATGTCTGGTGTAAGTTTGTTGCCAAAGCTTTTAAAAACTTAAGGCTTTGGTGGGTAACACTGAAGAATCTACATTTTTACAAGTTAACCAACAAAAAAACCCAGCCCAATGCCCCCTACTCTAGTCATGAAATAGAATGAAAGTAGCTAGGGACATTCCAAAAAGACAACTCAAATCTGGCAGGAAAGTGACACATTTCTTAACACTCATACACCATCCCTTCAGGCCTCTTTAGTGTTAATATGTCACTGTGCTCACCTTCAGCCAGCACCACATCCTTCAGTTTCTCCACAGCCTCTGCGAAGCGAGCCACGTCCCTCAGCAGGGCGGGGATGTCCTCCACCTCAATGGCCGTGCTCTCTGGACCATCAGACGGAGTGGTGGGGGCGGAGGCCGTCTTCCCCTGGCCTTTAGAGAACACCCAGGACTGGAGAGGGAAACCTGAGGAGAACAAATGCATTGTTTAAGTCATTTATCTATAAAAACTTGTTTCTGTTCTCTTCTAAGGTGTATATATATTTTTTTTTTTAAGAAAGAGATTTCAATACCTATCATGTATTGGCTTATAAATAATACCACCTTCTCACCAAACCTTGTACATACAACAAAATCCCCCTACCACCACCCCTAAATCTCACTAATTAACTTGTTAGGTCATTTTTGCTTAATTCATAGAAAATCCAAAGTGTAAATGCAATATTTTGCAGTTTTATGTATGTAAAAAAACGGTGCTGGTTTGCTGATCTTGTTACCTTTAGCTTGAATGTACTACTTTTCACTTTTGTTTAATCTGTTAATTATTTTCTAGATTAATAATTTAGTAGTTTTGTCTGTTAAATGTCAGAAAATAGTGAAAGATTATCTATCCCAGATTCTCAAAGTGGATTTAACATTTTGAGCACTGCTATTGTGTCTTCTTTCTCCAGATTTGGCTTTCTGTTTCAGCTCAGGTGTAAATGTGGTGCACAGGAGACATCACCAAGTCTATAAAATGAATATATGGATGTATAGTATGGATGTGTTGAAGCAGACCTGCAGCACTGGCGTGTCGGCTCAGTGCAGTCGGCCTCTTCAGGGTGGACACAGGAGAGCCCACCCCCTGCATGGCCGCCAGCTTGCTGTGGTGGATGCTGGGTGTCCCGGGGCAGGAGACGGAGGAGTCCAGAAGCCCGGCAGAGGTCGGGGTGAGAGTTGAAGCGGAGGATAAGGGTGAGGAGGAGAGGGTGATGTCAGCTGCATCTTTCCGAGGCTGCTCCTGCAGGATGGAGAGCTGAGAGAGAGGGACAGGAAGAGAGAAAAGGTCACAACGATCACATGATTTAACCTTTCCCAGATGAGCATGAGGGCACCAACAGGACCCCTCTCTGCTTATGTGGCCTTAAACACAGAAGCGCTATTGTTGGTAAACACACATGTGAAGGCTTTCACAAGATCCTGTGCTGCGTTGTGCAACACTTCCTGACTCCAAGCTGTCGTCGGGTGTGGCGAACAGAGCGGAGTGTAGAAATGTCATTTACTGTTTGGAATACAAACTGTGATATTTTTCTAAGAAATGACACTCCTCTGCCAACAAAACACAAACTAGGAGGCACCGAATTGTTGTTTTTTGGCCTGGTTGATGCATCTCATTTCCAACTTTTGGTAGACTTATAGCTCAGGGACTTGGCTTGGGACACTGCCATATGCTCTTTAGCAAGGCACATAACCCCTAACAGCTCAGGTCACTATGCTGCGACATCACTCCACATTGATACACTTGTTTAAATTTAGAAATTTACAACAGAATGAAAAAACATATGTTCCCTAAGAGGATAAATTAAGTATATTTTCATTATTAGTGCCAGCCTAACTCACGGCTACAAAGAGTACAAAAATAAGAAATAGAAAAGCATCCCATATATATCTATATGATAACATGCATAAGCTCAGACATACCTGCTTAAGCCACACGTTTTGCTTGCTGGGCAGTATGTCCAGTCTGTCCTTGCTCTTTGCCTCAGCTTTCTTAACTCTCTGACTGGTAGAGTAAGGGTTGTAGCTGCCCTTACCGACCCGTCTCAGCATGCTCCTTCTTCCCCCTTCTAACTAAAAGCACCAGCAACTTCTTAAAACTGATCTCACCAGAGCATTCACACACTGCAACCCGCCACAGCTTCAGTGGTAAACCCCAACATCAGAAGTTACACTTCCTTTGAGTCAGATGAGTCAATGTGCAGTCAGGCTCACATCAAAATGGAAGTCAAGACTAAAGTAGTCAAACAGCAATAATGCCCACAACAAACACTTGACTAAACAAAAAGTATGTGTGCAGCTAGGCAAACATCATAATGATTTGACTAGGCTTTTTAAGACATTTTACCCAGTCAGACTACATCACAGTCAAAAAGCATTCATGATCACACTAAAACTTGACTAAACAACACTTATATTTGGTGGTGTGCAGTCAGGCACACACCAAAATGGATGTCAAGACTAAAGCAGGCCAAAAGCATTAATGCTCACACAGAAACTTGACTAAACAAACTTATATTAGGTAGTGTGAGTGAGGCACACATCATAATAATTTGACTGGGGTTTTGAAGTAGTTTCACCCAGTCAGACTACAGTTGAAAGGCATTAATGCACACACAGAAATTGACTTAACACAACTTATATCTGCTGTTAACGACTGCACATTCACACACAAACACAAACTATCACCACTTGTCTTGAGCCCTTTCTGTAGCCTGTCCCTCCAGCTGAAGGTCATCTGACATACACACATACACACACACACACACACACACTTGCAGAAACCAGAAGTGATGCGCTACTCACGGCCGGGGCGCTGCTCTGCGGCCCGGGGCTTCCTGCTCGGCTCTTCTTCGAGATGGATGGCGTTTTGATCAGTTCCCGTTTCTTCCTGTGGAACATCTTCAGCGTGCCTTTGCCGTCCATCCTGACTTCTTTGAGTTTCACGTACAAACCCCCCCACCCACCCCCCGACTCGCCACTTGGGTGCTGTGTGTCTCAGCGGGACCTCGGTGACATCCCTGGAGAGTTTGATCCACGGTCGCTGTCTGTCTGTCTTCCTCCTGTTGCTGCTGTCGCACATCGAGGCGCGCAGACTCACTGACGGAGAGACAGGCAGGTCACCGTCATCCGCTCTGGAGGAGGAGGAGGGACACGCGGGTAAAACTCGAATTTTCACTAACTTTTGGGAAGATTGCGTTTGAATTACGGACAAGGAACTTTAACCTCAACCTTTATCATTAACGTAAACTTACTTTAAAGAGAAATGACTGAAGCGCACTAACGCAGACACAAACAAACAACTGTTGCTTTGTCCAATTTCACGGTAATCAGCTCATCCTGATACACGTGTGTTTGAACATGTGACCTTTTTATTAATGGTAACCCTCCGCCTCCGCGTGCACCTGCTCCAAAGTGTAGACTCATGCTAAAAGCATCAAATAAAAAATGATAATATGATTAAACAAAAAGATCATAAGACACCACACATTTTCTTCAATGTATGTTTTAATTGGCCTATTATGGATGCAAAAACAAATGTGGGTGTTTTAGACTATCTCCTTTCCAATCAGTGTTTGTGCAGTGATAAATGTATAAATTCTTAATGCATGAAATGAAAGAATACATGTTTAATGTGTCAGCAGAGGAAGTAGAGGGGCTCGATAAACCCTGGGGCCCTTCTCACAACCCCCCTCTTCCCATGTGAGTTTGTGATCATTTATTTGTGTACATTTTTTAAGAATATGCTCCTCATGAGGCTTAGGGTAGTTCTTAGTGCCATGTAAATGTTCAAATTCATTTATTTTAAGCTCCAACCACCGGAATTTGTTATGATAGTCAAGAAAACTCTCCTGGTGAATTGTATTCAAATTCCAACAACATTTACCCCTCCCTCATCAACCTTGACGTTTAGCCTCAGTATGGGTGGCACTTAAAATTGAAAGTCGGAAAGTCTAAGCTCCAACCCCCAGAATTCATTCTATTAGTCAAGAAAACTCTCCTGGTGAATTTTTTCCTCAGTCTGACAACATTTACCCCTCGCTCATCGACCTGGGCTGCCACACCAGCAGCCACAGTGCTGCAACTGAGGCTAAATAGGTTGATGGGGCAGGGGTAAATGTTGTCAGACTGAGGAAAAAATTCACCAGGAGAGTTTTCTTGACTAATAGAATGAATTCTGGGGGTTGGAGCTTAGACTTTCCGACTTTCAATTTTAAGGACCACCCTAATGAGGCTGATATACTAAATAAATGTTTGAAACAATGTTTGACAAAGGGCTTTTGTACAAGAATAGGTAAAATGCAGAAGCCACATTTCATCTCTATATATCAAGTTAGTGGCATCTGTTAAACAAAATTAATAATCAATCAGATCGATGGATTCCAGAGAAGAGGAAACTTTGAAGGCCTTTTTCTCAAAATGATGACTCGGTGACAGTCATTATATAATGTGACATATTTTGCTTAATACAACAATCCTGATATCATTAGAAAGATAGGAATCTCCTCTTTCCAACAGTGTATACAACTCAAAATGTGTCTTCGGGTCAATGCGACTGATTATACACACAATTCAGTATATAAACTACAAAATAACTGCTACAAAAAGAACCTGCTGTCTTTGTGACATTTGTGTGTTTCCCAGTTGGTCATCCAGACTCGAAGGAGAGAATAATATCAAAACTGTGTCACAGTTGCTTTAAAGTTTACTTGATCAATCATTGTTTGTCCACAAAAAAGTAAATTCCACATATGTACTTAATATCAGAGATCGAGGTTGTATTTTATGTAAATCCTGGCAAAGACATTTATAGCATTTAGTCAAATTAAACAAACCCACTTTTGAAATCAGGAAAACAGTTTAATGTAGAAAAAGTGTCATCACAACATTTAATAAACATTCCATCATATTTATTTGAAAAGACTCATTTATTATGACTTCTAATAAAACTAGAATTTGTTTACATGTTACATGCAGTAGCCTTGTCAAATGGCATGATGATTTGTTTGGCATTTAAATAAAAAAATAGGAAAAGAAATCAGGCACATCTGTGAGAACCTTTCTTCAAAAGTTAAAATGTTTAGTAATCTGTTAAAGGTTGTAAGATATCTTTAACATCCCACACCTGTACAAGTTTGTTGGGGGAGTGAAAGCGTTTTAATGTTCTTGTTAGATCAGTAAACTCCAGCTGTAATCCTTGATGTAAACTCTAGAGTTCTGTTGCAGGACCCCATTCAATGTCCTCCACCTCTTCCTCCTCCTCCTCCTCTTCCTCCTCAGAGCTGTCGCTGCCTCGGATCTGTGTGCGTCTGAACTGCACTGCCTGATGATGGTGTGCTAGCCTGTCAACAAGAAGGAGCAAGGGGTTAACATTTTGCACATAATCCTCATGTTGGCTCTACTGTGAATACCAAGGAGAGCTAAAGAAGACTTACACGATGAACTGAGGGCCTTTCTTCTCCCCCGCCACCGCCTGCGGCTCTGCAGAGCGCGCCTGGAAGAGAGGACAGAAACGTAACATCATTTTAGTTTTCTATAGAATACAACAAATGGGCCTAAAAAGATACATGTAATACAATAAATCAGCATTATACAGTATTTTCATGGATGATTAAGTGACATTTTCTTCTTCTTTTACATTACTGACAAGCATTTTCAAAACCAGTTCTCGTCATAATTATTACTTTTCAGGTAAGAAAAGTCAATTCAAAGGCTTAAGACTATAATTTTTACATCTGGGTTAAAATGGTTGAAATGCAGCTTTAAATGTTTCTGTCTTACACTGCTCGAGCATTCATTTGTTTGAGGGAAAATCAGTCATTTTAAAAAACTGTTAAACATGAAAGAAAAAAATATAGTTAATGTAGTAAAAAATAAATGCATTACTGAGGTACACTGAGGCTGCAACTAATGATTATCTCATCCTCAAGTAATATGCAAATAATTCATTACATACTTGATTACTTGTTAGGTTTGCAAAATATTAGGAAAAACATTTCATCTCAGTTTTTCCTAAGTGCAAGTTGCCTGTTATGTCCAAACAACAATTCAAACCCAAATATATTGACATTGTTTTCATTGACTAATAAACCATCAAATATTTACATCTGAGAAGCTAAAACCAGGCGATGTTTGGCACTGAAAATTATGTATTTTGTTAATTTACTGACCAAACTTTAATAAACGTATTGTTCCAGTGCATTTGGCCTTAAATGCATAATACACAGATATAGTCCTTTAAAAAAGAGCAACATTTAGTTTACCCGTTGTAGTTTCTCCTCGATGACAGACAGGCTGGCAGGGGGCGGGCTCTCCGGCTGGGCCTCAGCATAAGATGGCTCGTTCACAGAGTGGCGAACATACGGGTCAGGGGCTATAAAGTCTGGGGGTCCTTCTGATGGAGTGGTGGGTGCAACTACCTCATGCGCACTGAAATCCGAGTCCGAGAAGCTGCGGTGGGAGGGGTATTCCTCCTCTTCCTCTGCAGCGCTGTGGGGGGGGCTGTGCTGGGGGCTGTGCTGGGGCTGTGCGGGGGGCTGTGCGGGGGGCTGTAGCTCTCTCTGCGGGACATCCTGGGCTCGGGGACGTGCATCAAAGGCGGGATATCCCGGCTCGGGTCTTCTTGAGGCTCGGGGTCCTCGATGGGGCTGAGGCGCTCGGAGGCGGGCTCAGACGATCGGGCTAAAGCAGATCCAATAGCCCGGGACCCCCTGGGGGCAACGGGGGCACTCTGCCCGGGGTACGCCTCCTCCAGGTCCTCGTTGTCCGTGTAGGCCTCTCCGTCAGTGAAGGCCTCTCCGTCAGTGTCCTCCAGGTCACTGGCAGCACTCAGGTAGTCAGACTGCGTCTGATCCAGAGCATCCAGGTCCTGCTCCGCTCCGGTCTCCAGCTGCAGAGGAGAAGACATTTAATTAGTTTTACAGGCAGGAAGAGACGTCCAATGAAATGTCAGTTAGATAACAGATTAGGTTAATAAAAAAAAGTCTCAGAATTTAAGAAAACCAATGCACAAGAATCTAACTTTTTTTAATCAATCTTTATTTATTTTTTAATTTGTGTATTTACCATTTTTTTACTTGAACTTTGTTTATTTACTTCACTGTATCACCAAGTCAAATTCCTGTGTTTCCTCCTCTTGGGCAAATGTTTTTATGAACATTTGAACAAAAATAATTTCCAAAACTAAATCATACACTTAAAAGACTAAAAACAAAAAAGGCATCAGTAAATGCAATGTTGTAAATAATTGTCTTTAAAATGGACCTTTCTGAGTTGTTTTCATTAGACTGCAGCACTATACTTCACTTATCAACAAAGAGAAAAGTGCTTACATGTGAAATAATCAGTGAGTGTTTCTTACCGTCACTTCAGACACCCAGACAGGCTTTGACTGTTGGTGGCGGATCTTATCCTTCAGATTCTCGTACCAGATATTAGAGTTTGGCTGCAGGTCAATACGTGCTGTAAAGGTCAATAGAAAAACATCAAACCAAAAATGTGTACATTGTACAATTTTACTAAACAACTACACAATTAGAGAATAAGGAAACTAACTTTATATAGCTTTATTGTATTCTCAATGATGATATATGACAGACTTTGCTCCTGTGTGATTACCTGAGAAAAGGTGGCTGCAGTGTTTCCTGAGCTTCAGGGCCTGTGTGTAAAGGCGTCTGGAGCTCTTGTTGGAGTTGGGGCTGTACCTCTGCCTCATGGCCTTCACGTCTTTCCTGCTGTGAGGGTCCAGGAACAGCACCATCGGGTGGTACTGGATGTAGTTCAGCCTCTCCACTGCAGTGGGCGTGATGTCCAGGAGGGGGTGTTTGTCCTAAGAAAAGAGGAAATGGAAAAATAAGCAAGGGCTAAGCAAGTACACAAACTAAACAAGATTCATGTTGTTTTTCAAAGTGACCAAATATAAAAGTTGAGGTTTATTGGCTCACCTTCTCTGCTATTCTCCTCACAGTGTCCAGTTTGATAACTGTGGAGGCGCCGTCTCCTCCTCCACTGCGAGGAACCATGTCTACGCAAAACAGGAGGCAGAAAAACAATGTTTACAAAGTGAACACACAACAGAATTACTAAAACAGAAAATGAAGGAAATATTTTCCTTATTGAAAAGAAGCCCCACAAACCTGCTGCTTCATAATCATCAGGCATCTCTCTAGCCAGTTTATCCATGGCAATATCATTAAGAGGACCCAGAATAACAATGGGTCTTTTGAAATTGGCTGGAAACAAAGAAATTCAGGGTTAAAATTAAACTTGCTCCAGTCGAGTAAAGATGTTAAATCAAATGTGTATGTGAGGTTAAAAACACACCAACCTTCTCTGAGCAGGACCCTCTCATAGGCCGGGAATTTGCCCTGGATGGTGAGCTGCAGCAGGTCTTCACGAGTCTGCCGGACGTTCTTTTCATTCTTTTTGTTGCCTTTGAGACCCCGTAGTTTCCAGAACTCGGCTCTCGATCCGGACACCTGCCTGTCTGCAGTCAGCCGCTGCGCCTGCTCGATGCTGGCCAATGTCTCTGCCCTGCAGGAGATAATAATAGGATATAAAACTCAAACATTGTTGTTCCTAAAGGATCAGATTTTCTGAAGTGGTGTTGTGTTATGTGCGGTACTGATCTGTAGACAGTATGTATATATATATATCTGCAAGCAGTATACTGCCGTCGGTGGGGCAGCAGCAAAATGTCTTACAACCACATTAAAAAACAACTGTCGCAATATTTGTAATATTTCAACACTTTATCTTGCAGGCAGAGATAACTTTAGGCCAGGAAACTGAGGGTGTTATCTATGCTCATTTTAAAAGCCACCAGAATCCATAGATTCCGATTTAAATATTTAAAACACCATAGTCACTCAATACCAACAACAAATTAATAAATTAAAGCAGTGGTAGGCCGGCAAATCACATGTTCTGTGAGGTACATTTAGAATGTCTTTTAATGGAGTCTGGTGGCTTTGAAGTGAGCAAAGATACCAGCTAGAGTTCACCATTGTGAAGAGATGCTGACGGCAAGATAAAGCAACGGAAATATTGTAAATAAAGCGTTCACTTAAACCAGTTTTAATATTAGATGGTAGTCCTTTTTTTAGAAAGCTTAAATATGTTTTTCTGCTGCTCCTGTCTCTACAGCGATTATGCTGGCACTACATTCTAATGTAGGTAATAAACTGACCAAAAGGAAATGATACAACCCCACTTGTACACAAAAACAACGGTCACTTTAAAATAGAAATGTGAACCTCTATCCCCCATCCCTACCATACCTGGCCTGGTTGGGGATGGTGCCTTTGTCCATCTCGTGCAGGTCGTTCCCCATGCGGCTGGCCAGCCAGTTTCCCAGCTTCCCGCGGTGCATGGTGTCCACGACCCTGAACACCTCTCCTCTGGTGAAGCTCAGGCCGATGGCCCCCTCTGCCTCGTGGTCGAAGTGGGAACGGATGTAGAAGTTGTCCGCCAGGTTAGACTTGATGATCTTCTTATAAACTGAGGAGAAGGAAAATGAAGATTGATACATTCAGTCACTGATTGAGAGTAGTGTTACCCATAATAATCATCATTAGGGATAAACTTACTGTCCATCTTGTGCTGAGTGCAGATTGCAACCTGCTCTCCTTTCTTGATGTCCAGGAGGAAGTTGGCTGCTTCTTCTCGTGTGAAATGACCAAAATCCACGTTATTTACCTGAAAGAATGAGATAATTGTAAGGAAAAAAGTTATTTATTTTAAAAGCCACTGACAAAATAGTGAACATTTAAAAAACACAACATCTGACTTTTACAGTCACAGTCAACTGAATTTTTATCTTAAACTTAACAATTAAATTGTGATTTGTTGAAACTCTTTACTTGAATTGTATTGTATTTCACTTCTTTAGCTCTGAAGCTCAAATGGCAAGTAAGATTTGATGTGAAACCCTTTAACAAAATACAATGTGGTGACTCATGGTGACCTGTTCTTTCTTGGTCAGAGCGTTGATCTGGAGTTTTCTTTTTTTTTTAATCAGCCAACATGTTAAAATATGGGCTAAACCCTTAAAACGTTATTAATGAACTACTGCTAGGTGTAGCGCATCAGTGTCTCACCTTCATGATCTGGTCTCCCTCTTTCATCCCCTCCTCGTACGCGGGGCTGTTCGGCTGAACTCCCCCCACAAATATGCCAACATCGTTGCCCCCCACCAGCCTCAGACCCACGCTGCCCTCCTTCACAAACGACACTGTGTGGAGGTCTGAGCTGTACCTGAGAGTGGAATTATGTGAATTAGAAATGAGCACATTTCTGCTAAAACGAAATTACTAGGTCAAAGATAAAGGAACCAATGAGCATCACTCACCCTGGATTAGCTGAGGGGTACGAGTCTGGAGGCAGGGAGTAGATGGGCTCCTCTACAGGCTTTGCTGGAAGAGATACGGATATGGTGAGACTCCCTGCTGCTGCTACTAATGTATGTTTCTTTGTTGTCAGTGAATCTCACTATGTAGTCCATAAACATTTTTTTTAAAATACACTAAGACCACAATTTATAAAAGCTCAAAATATTTGTTTTGACAACATGTTTTCTCATAGGTGAAACTTGAAAACAATTATTTAGTAGTCAGTCTAAATTGTACTTTGCTGTTATGAGGTTATTGCAGTAGTTTAGAGTTGAGCCTTACAGTAGGCGGGTGGGTTGTTCTTCACTGAAATCCCAGACCGGACCGTACCATTAGCAGCACGAGGAGCTCTGAGAGGAGGACAGAAATCAGTTGGGATATTTATGTAAAATAAGAAATATACACTTAAAACTATTTATCTAAAAAGTTCCTAAAGCTGTTAACACGTACATGTAACCGTGGCCCTTTTTAATTTCTTCAAATAATTTTGGCTGTGCTGATGCATTTTGCATAACATTTTGATTAGAGAGTGAGTTGTATTTTCTGTTTCTATTTTGCAAGTTCAACCGGAGTTCCTATACATTTTTACACTGCATAGAGAAAATACAGACACTGCTGCATTTACAGCATTAAATGATGCATTATATTAATTGCTTTGAATATAAAGCGCTGGCTTCAAAATTGTAGTTATTACTATTATATATTATATATTATATTTTCTCATGTTTACCCCTATAATACAAACACGAAATGAATCAAAATCAATAATGTAAAACTATGGAATTATGTAAAAGAAAATGTTTTAACATCAGGACTCATTATCTCTGTGAAAGTGGAAAACAAACAGAAACAGATATTATTTTC